TAATAATCACGCTGCTTAAAAAGTATTTTTTTAAAGAAACCGATTTCTTTTACCATTTTCTTTTCTTAACATTGCACGAACGATCAAAATAAAAATATCTCTTCGTACGCCTTTTAAGTCTCTCCGTCGCAACGGTATTTCGCTAAGTTAGTAAAATATTTTAATTAAAACATTTTTTCACAAAAACGCACACAATGTTTGTGCATGCATAAAAGGTATTTCCAGCAAACCAGCATTTCCTTGTTACATTTTCTCAAAAATTTACGCTTGTTCAGACTCGACTAAAGTTCTTAATACCGGATTTTGTATATACTTGCAGGTTTAATACTTAGAAAAATATTTTGCTTGCTTCAGATACTATGCGCGTGTTCTTAGTTCTTACACTTAAAATCTTAGTTTAGCTATATGTATAGTTATTCAGGTCTTAGCCTTGCATTTTATTTTTTGTGTTAATTCATTATGGCCACTTGGTATTTTTGGACGTACTCAAGACTACACAGCACAAAAATTTGTGAGGTATACCGTAATAAGAAAATAATACCGATTTCTCGGGCGGCAAGCGCTTTTAGCATTTATTTGAATTTTTCTCGGATGTTAGGCATGCGCACTGGCATTCTAGCTTAATGAATGTAAAAACATTTAGTGGGTTATTTTAATATATATATTTTTTTTTCCAGAACTATTTCTTATTCTTTTTAGAAATAAAATATCAAAGTCGTCTCTTAGTGCCCTTTGAATTGTATGACAATTAAAAAAAAAATAAAACCATAAACTGTATTTCATGTTCTAATTCTGTTGTAAAACTTATTCTATTGTCCAAACTAGGTTTGATATCATTTTTCCCGTCAGAACTTCCTTTTAGCGACAAACCGCATGATTAATTTGTATTCTAAATAATATACAATCTGTATCAGATTAGAGCTTGACGTTGGCGATACATAATTTCGCGGTCTGGTTCAAAACATTATAATCGTCTTTTCTGCATTAGCGGTTTAGCTACCGGTATGATATTATATCTACTGTCGATAATCTCTTAAACCGAGAAAATTGAAGATCCGAATAGGTTTGAAAATAGAGTGATAACAGCAAAGTTGTGTTTTTCTAACAAACACATTATATTAAATTATTATTATACTCGCTATTGTTCCACGACTGATCGTGATTCGACACGTTAACCCATTTTATATGTTATGTAAACAGTTTTAGCCGATTCAAAGGCGATATAATAACGATAAATCCGTCTGCACAATAATAATAATAATAGTATAACAACTGAAAGTTTTCATACTGACCGTCACATGTTGTTCATGCCACTGCGCCATTCAATGTAATCTCTGCAAATTCATCTAAACTTTTACTCTAAGTACAAAAGCTACTTCATTTTTCTCTCATATATATATATATATATATATATCTGTTGTGATAGTTATAACATGGTTTATTGAAGTTTTCCATCAAACTTTAGTTTGAGCCTTTTTCTCTAAAATTGCCTTTTTCATTCGCTAGGCGTGCATTCAACTATGACTCAGACATGCGATTGAAGGTGAAAAGAATTCACTCTGTGTCGGTGTATTCGAGTAGTTCATATATAAAGAGAGAATTGGATTTTAAAATTCATACATTTAAACGGGCATGTATTTACAATGTATATTGCAATCCTTCGAGGCTCATAAGTGTACAGATGTAGATTCCTTGCACTAACAGATCCTTTTAGGAGTTTGTTCATCAAATCTGATGGACAATTGCGTTATGTTGCTTGTTTTTTTTTTTAGCTAAACCAATTTTTTATTTGTGTTTGCAACGTTATTACCGTTCGGTCGTAATTACTTTCATAATATTAGCGATTACGTTATTAGTTGAATTTCCATCGCCAGGTCAAAGTAATTATAATCAATCGACATGTTAATATAATATTCACGAAGAGTTAAGATTCTATCTAGCACGCATATAATTATAATGTATTGCGTTTAGTGACCTGGAAACGGTGGACCGTATACACTGCAAAATATAAACATAATTCCATTTTAATTGATACGAGGCGTTTGACGGTTCGCAAGTGGTGTAAGAAACATTTTAATAATTATATTGTGTATTTTAATTTTTTTTTTTGGTTATGCAATTGATGGATGCACGATATAGAAAAGTAATGTGATAAACAGCTCCTCCTCAGACTTTGCCAGCCATTAATAGAGTGTACTGACAACACAATATACGAAATTGACAAGCAGAACTTTCAAGATTAATATTAAACTTTTAAAGCATCGCCAACACTAATTATATACACAAAACGAAATTTTGAACAAATTACGAACTCTGTACATAGACTTGGCTTGTACATAATTAAAATCTGATAGCGTTTGAACGTGATATTGCTCGAGAACATTTCCAACCGAAGATGCATACAAATAACAATATTATTATTATGTTTTTCAGGCTGGTTTATAAACTAATACCAGAGTGTATAACCCTACCAGGCACTGCAGGAAGTAGCTATCACCTGTATATGTATATATTGTATTACTAAATATTAATACAGTTAACACACGTGCATATGCATGTATTTATAATTGTTAATATGAAATCAAATAACAATTAAACTTTATCTCTTCGCTGTGACTACATGAGCAACTAATGATTTGCAAGAGTTTTATTTAAATCTGAGCCGTTTTCTTTGTTTTTTGTGTATATTATGCGACGTTACAAGCTCAGTGCTCTTAAACGGTTAAGTAAGATTAGGTTAGTGATAGGACACGGACTATAGTACTCGAGTCCAGTAAATGTGCAGGGAAGAGCAATACACTGCTAAGTCAAGATAGGCTAAAATTGTTTTCAAAGGTCTTATAAAGTGTTGTATTTAATTCGTTAAATAGCTATTTTTTTTAATAAGTTAATAACAAAGGGAGATATTGATGAAGAATACAGTTTTTAATTTATATTAATGATAACAACAAACTACATTTGGCCCAGTGCAAGACGTAATAGTATACCTATTGCAAGTATAATTTTATAACAATTAACCCAAGTATTAACTTATTTTATACGTTGTTTAATATTATGAATCATACTTAATGTCGCAATAATTGTATATAACAAATACATATACATTGGAAATAAAAAAATATTTTCAAACAAATTCAAAAGCCAACGATTGCATCTTACTTTTTAACCGAGTTCTGAAATCATACTGCGCATTAACCATACAAAACATTGATCCGAAATTGAAAGAATAGTATCGGTTATCGCATTGAGGATTGTCTGGTAAGACATAAGCGTTGTCCGTCCTCTTTAACTTATCTATTCACAAGTTAATACTCGTATTTATCCACGGAATAAAATTTATATTTTGAAAAATTATAATGTAAAAGCGTCAATTTCTTTAGCCCAAACATGAACCCAGAGGAAACATGTAAGACTCTAGTCCTCTTCCTTTGCTCAGTTCAAAACTCATATTTGAAAAGTTTTTACACAAAATAACCAATTGTTGAAATCTATTGACCAAGACGTGTGAGATTTTTTTTTTTTATTGAAATAAATATAAAATTGTAAAATGTTTAATAAAACCGAGTTTACACAATTCACTCTGGTTGATCACTTTGCATGATTTTGCTATTTACACAGTTCATTTTTAATGGCTTCCCCTAAAATGACCATTTTAAGTAAACAGTGTATGATTAGTTAAACAAACTTTTAGAGTCAATATTTTGATTACAATAGATTAGCTAGTGTACTATTTAGTTTATCTTTGGCAACTATTTTAAAAACCCCTTATAAGATAAGTGATCATTATTCAATGTGGAGGCTGTTTATTTTAAGTATATTTTGATCTCTACCGACTAACTATGTACAAATAGCTAAATCTAATACCTAGTCGATTCCTCGTAAAAATATATTGATAGAAAACCTAAAACTTTAAATTTAAGGTTCTAATAGTATATTTGCTTTTACTAGAATGCCCTTGATCAATACAATCCTTCATCATCTGCTTGCAGCTTCTAGATCCGTGTCAACTTGAAAATGCAGTAAGTGTATATGAAATTTCAACCGAGAGTGAATAGAAACGCCTACCAAAATATAAACATAAAAATGGCGCACCAAACACTCGAGGGGTGGGGGTGGCTGGATAAGTACAGACAGTTTTTTGTTTTTTATTGGGATTCTTAACGGCCTTGCATGAAGATCCGATGGCTCCTATTACGATGGCGATATAGTAATATTATTATTCTGAACAATAAAATGATTTGCCGTCAGATAATATAACATATACTATCATAACAATATTGTTACTACTTATATTACTATCATAACAATATTGATACTACTTATATTTATTTTACTTAATAATATCATTCACCTGTCGAATATCTTTGACCCGGCAAGGTTTTTTTTTGTCTAGATAAATTTGTTTTGGTCTTTTAGCGTCACGTAGATCATTATTTCAAATTAATTTGATTAAATATGTAGTAGTATGTATGTAGTAATATTCCCTTATCAATAAAATATTAACTAGTAACCGGGATTATTTAATAGTTATTTATACCTTTAAAAAAATGTTTTATTAGGTTAGAGAATAGAGTAATTGAAAGATATGTGGTGATTAGAATAAAGTGTCATTAAATTAAGTGAAAAATGATAACAGGGATGTTGTGCCATAGTTAGGTGCTCTTCAGAGTAAAAAATAAAATTGCCCAAGACTGTATTTAGGCTAGTAATTACTCATGAAAATAAGTTTTTGACATTCAAATCAAGAGGTCAAGATCAGACAGAAGTTAGAAAAGAAGTTGTATTTATGTCAATAGCGAGGGAAAATGGGAGAGCATAGATTAGTTTAGAGAGACAGTTTAGAGGTAAAGGTAGAACGAAGAAAAAGTGGAAGGATATTAAAAATATAGTAAGGAAACGTATGGAGTAGTCTTTTTTTTAATTTTATTTAATATCTTATCGAAGTGATGTTTCCACGGACACTGCTAAATAGCTTTACAATGTAAAATCATTGGACTTACCTGTAATGGGGGCAGCAACAAATGCGCGAGGTCCTGTTGAGTGTGCGCGTGCAACTGGTTGATTAGCGCCATGGTGGCCGCAGCGGAGACCGTGAGATTGGCATGAGGCTGTGGCGGCGGTGGTGGTGGTGGAGCTGGATGTGCATGAGGGTACCCTATAAACGCAATGGGGGTGGCCCCAGGTGCTTGTGCCATGGCTGCCAAAGCCAGCATGTTCTGTGCAGGTCCTAGCTGTTGCGGCAAACCCCAAGGTTGCACGGCCGCAGCAATCCAATGCGGATGTGCTACTTGATGATGCATTTTTTAAATCTGTTTTGTGGTTTGTACGACGGAAACGGCGTGGTCCGACTAAGCCAATCCACTGTCCATACGGGTGTTCCGATATATGGTCAAGTTTTTTTCAACAGAACGCCTGAAAATTGTATTTAAAGAAAAAAAACATTAGAACAACAAGCAACATATCATATTATAATTTATCACCATTGGCTATTATTTAAAGTTGGTATGCTTAAATGGTGTGTCAATATTAAATACACAACAAAAGGACTTTTTTTGGTTCATATTTATGATTTCTTACTTAACGCATATTTCATAGGAAACAGGTAAATTCATTAAACAATACAATTTTTTTTTTTTAATTCTAGTGTTATTGAAAGTTTGAACTATTGTACTATAAAGTTAAAAAACTGCATACGATTTTCAAAACTTAGTCATCAGTTGGTAACCCGGGAACCCCAATAAAGATTACATGCTTCCATAATGGTAGTATCAACTTGGTATATTTTGCCAGTCATACGAGAGTAGGGTTTTGTTAAATTTCAAATGTCCATTAATCGTTTTAATCCATGCAAATTAACAAAAACATAATTCCGCTTTTACAGTTTTTATTTTTATTTTTGAATCTATATTCTAATAGGCAATGCTATCCCAGAGAAAAAGAATATAATTTTATATCACACTCAGAGAAAATGTTATAACGCTTTTGAGTTATGACTATTACGATATTATTGTTAAATGTAATATGTTGGAAATTGTTAACGATAAATTCCAAAAATTCCCATGATCATCTTCAAATCGTGTGTAATTTATTTGGCAAAAGAAAATTGAATAAAACTCGAACAAACATTAAATTGTTCATTTAAGAGTCGGCGTCGAACATCCGACTAAATGGACTATAGCCATTGCGACTCCATTTCACCAAATGTTTTATCTATAAACTGATCTACTCAGAATAGTAGATTTCTGTCAGATGAAAATATGAAAGGCGTCCAAAGGCAAGTGCGGACGCGGAGTTGGTTGTAACGATTTCCCACTAGGTATAGTGCATAAACTCACACGTGGTGTAGTAATAATGATTTTTCTTTGTCGCCACAGCATGTCGACGTTAAACTCGGTCCGATTTCATCCAAAGCCCGTGCGGTGATTTTTATCAATTTGCGATTTTTTTATTACCTTGTCGGCAATAAATCACAGATACCGTTCGCAACACGTACGCCGCCCAATGCACCGGAGCCGACTTAATAATAATTTATATCGCTATAATGTTACTGCGAAAACGGATTGAGGGCAAGGGGCGAAGGGGTAAAAAGGAATACAAATAACTCTGGTCGTGATACGCACGTCAAAACGTTTTTGTATTGAACAGCCAACCGATTGTCGAACAGAGCGTCGGAAATGGGACTTAAACTCGTTTTGTAGAACGCACGGTTATTTTTTTTTTTTGTTTATTCACTTAAATAAACTCTTAAAAACGTAGAACTGAGTCCAGGCCAAGCACGGGAGGGGTTGTGGTTTTTTTATATAATTAATTATTATCTTTCTAGCTCTCGCTGTTGAAATCGATAATTAAATTATTGAAAAATATATGCATACGCTGTACATAAATCTAAAAATACACGACATTAAACGGAAAGCGAAAGTACCGGTTTTACAACAACTGCTGTTAACAAGCCGGACGTTCTAAACAGGAACGAGCAAACAAGATTAGCACCTAACTATACATCCAATTATATTATAAATCTTAATTGAATGAGCTTCCATACTTTTTGTGTAGCCTGTACGTATGTATGGGTATATCTGTTGATCATTGGACGTTGTGGATTATAGTCCCTCGATAACGCGAATGCAGTATTACTAATTGGATCAGTATGCGTAATAACACAATATTCAATTTTACAGTGTTCCCGTCAAAGATTAATACCATTGCCAACATATTATTATCTTAAACAATGACAAAAAGGCTTAATTGGTTCATTGACTCAATTATGAAATCAGGCAGTCGACAATGATTGGTCAAAGCAAACAAACAGTTTTTGTAAAAACTATTTTTTCTCTCTCTCTTTCTGTCTTTTCACATTTTTCTATTAAATTTATTTTCATTCATCGAATATGAACTTTTTTTTTACAAACATATTTTTTCGTTAAAAATCAATAGCGCATACATGTCTTTCAACACAAAGCTCTACTGCGGATACATGAACGGTAAAGTTCATAAAACTAAAAAACCTACTTGAACTTTTCACCCAACCTGGTTTGTATAGGACTATACTGCCTAGAGCTATATATTGTAATTTTTTAAAAGAATTTACTACCTTTTTTATTGCACTATTGTATGAATTGAAATGTCCAAAACACGGAATTGAACTTTCAAAAAGTCGGGAAAAAAATACTAACAATGATAAACTATTTTACAACATCTGCTTTCGGTTGAGTATACACAATTTTATTGAAAGTGACACTGTATTCTGTCGTCGCGTTAGGATAGAATTATTATTTTACATTATCATCGTGTTTTATAAGGTAGACGTGCGTGGAAAACAAATACTCATAATCATATAGTACATGTTAAAATCTCTTTAGAATTTCAAATTTGCCGACATCATCGGTTGGTAAATATTATTTCGGTAAAATCCCTATGCGAAAGTTTGACTGCACAGCAGATAACATAAAATATAGCGTTGGATGGAATAAATTGTCACGCAGCCTGACGTCAACACTGACTTAAACAGCGAAAAGGGAAACCGACCTTCCTTTGATTGTGTTTGGGTTATGGATTTGGAGCCAACGAGCGGAAAATTCATTAAGCACCTAGCAGATTGTTTGTCAACGCTGATGGTGTTTCCATAACTAAAATATATCTATACATACTGTGCCATGTCTCGACCAAACCGACGACAGGAAACCCGACACGGTTGTCTGCAAACTGTGCACACACCTTCATTATCTCCATAATAAAGTACCCGATAAACACACACAGTATAAGTAAGGTCTACCGAGGTTCACGACCACCAAGTCATGGAAGTCAAGCGTTAATAAGGTTCATTTAAAGGTACACCAAGTAAGAAAAGGGCCAAGAAGAATTGACAAGTTAAACGAGTTTAGAGCATATTTGAAAGTTGTTTATGCATACAAATCCGAACACTATTGATTACATCGTTAATACATTTTTCGGAGCTTGTTATTTTTAATATTCATTTGTTTCATTCCACCAACAGCAATCGATATTTTACCATTAAACGAAAAATATCAAGCATTATTGTATATTTTTTTTAATATACACATACATACTACATTAAACAAATTGTGTAATATATATTTGTAGTCTGTACGTAATGTTTACGTTGTTAATAATAATTATATGTATTTTTTTAGGGTGGCTGCATGTAAAAAAATGGCTATGCCACGTTTTGTTTGCATGCGTGCAGTTAATAATAAAAAATAAGCGACGGTAAATACAAACCCCGTCGAGTGTAAAATTCCAGCTTCTGTGTGTGTACGTTGTATATGGGAGATCTTGTAGCACACGACTTATATAAAATGTATGTTCATAAAATATTTGATTAGATTTACACTTTTTTAGCGGCAGTGGATCGACAACAGCCTGATATTAATCGTCGTACCATCGTCGGTCTCCTGCTATTTGTCTGGTAATGTTATCAATTATATAGGTATTATATTATTGTAATTATTATTCCAATATGTTTAATCAAATTAGGGTTAAACGTTGCATACATATTTTATAGCAGCTATTATAATAATATGTGCTTCAAACACACAAATACTTCTCAAATGCACAATAACCGGGTCAATAACTTAGTTGCTTGTTTAAAATAAATTTCCTTTTTCAGTTAATAGGACTATAGCAAACGCACCTGGAAAACACCGTGTTTTATTGGTGTAGATGTGTACCGAACGGTGGGGGGAGGGAGGCTAGTGCCGTAAAAGACAGATATAATAACTTGAAAAGACTGTAAACACCGCTCGCGTCCATGATTTATTGGAATGAAGGAAAAACACAACGAAAAAAGAAAACAACAGTCCGGAAAAGTCGATTTCAGCCGTTTTTGTGTTATAAGAACAAATAAATAAATAAACTTTGGTGTAATTCGAAATGGGCAAAAAAAAACAAGTAATCGGAAGGCCTGTAAACTTTTTTTTTTTCATTTCGTCCAAGTGACGGCACCGGTGACAGTCGTTCACCAACAAACCAAGAGCATGATACTTTGTTATTGGTGTTTTTGTGTTGGTAATTACTGTCACAACTAACAACCGTTGTATAGCCTCGACACCATAATATTATATTGTTCTTGACCCGCTAGAGTATGATAATACTCGAGTGCATTCAATCGGTTTATAAAATCAGTAAAAGCGTTAATATTACAAATTAATGGCACATACAAATACTAAAACATATAAAGGGCACAGGGGAAAAACGGCAGTAGTCTCATTATAAAAGTTTTAGAGTATAGTTAAAACAAATTTCGTGAATCCACTCCCTTTTACATAAGAACAAAAGAAATCACATTAAATGCTATTCTACTAAAAAATGTATTTATTTAAACAATCTATTGGCATAAATAAATAAAATGAATGGCGTAAATTGTAAAAAACTATTTGAAAAAAAATTTTCATAATGTGACTATTACCGTTTTTCCCCTGTGTTCTTCATATATTTGGGTGAACAAAATTTGAATTCTTCTTGTAGTGTAAGTGGTAATTTAACTTTTTAATATATATTGTGCAAAAGACAGATTTTTTTGATTTTTTTATATTAGTACCTACAATCAAGGCATGGAAAAGTAACTTTTTTAACTAGATTTGTTCGAAACAAATCCAAAGTGGTTAAATTTAATGTTACTCTATAAAACACATAAAAATGTAACCTCGGATAGAAGTCAGTTAACACAAAAATAAAAAAGTTATGGTTCCAATTAAAAGTTGTCTATAATGTTTTTATTATAAACAAACCAAATGACATTCGAAATGTTTATATTTTTGTGTATTGAAAATAACATAAACATTTCTGTAATGATATTTTTTCGACTCTGTCCGGAATTATGAAATTTGTTTAAAACTCGTTACAATGTCAGTCTAAGAAAAGAAGAGCGAGTAAAAGAAAATAATTTTTTTGGA